ATCTGCGATAATAACATAATTTGAATTATATTTACTTTGTGTAGCTCTTTATTCGAAGTATATTTGCTTTTGTAACTATCAATTTACAAAACTTTCAATAAATTAATTGTTGTGATTCGAATAACTCGAATAAAACTTGAAGAATATTATTATTCGAATGATTCGAGCACTCTTCAGAATTTAATTCGCGAGTTACGAGTTAACACGAGTCCAGTCACTACTGCACCATTTTACCTCTTGTTGCTTTAAGTTTTACTTCTGGTTCACATTCAGCATTGTATATACTGTATATGATATATCAAAGTATTGCTTTTCACATATTTGATAATAGCAAAACATTATCTAGCCAACTCTTCATCAATAATAAAATATAAATGCTATTTTATTTATAAAGCGATTATGTATACTAATTATCCAATCCATGTTTACATTAAAATATCATTCAAAATTGCTTTGTTGAAATGATTCTACTTGAACGACAAACATAATAAATAGCTCCATTAACTTTATTTAGTGATCGTTATTAAAGATATGTATATTGATTATATCTTGACGATGCCAAAACTTTCTTCCTATTAGACTTAATAATGGTGCGAGTTTGATTATTAAGGTTAATATCTTTATGCATGCTTATTCAGACTTATGCAATTTTGGAAATTTGTCATTGTTCAAATACCTGAATTGCATAAATCTGAACACTCTTCCATAGAGGGTTTAGTGTGATCATAAAAATTAATGGCCTAATATTAATTTGAAAATACAGCAAAAGGAAATTATCGATCTAATATTAATTTGAAAAAATAACAGATAAATTTTAAACTTCCAAATTTAGGTTTTTTTATTATTGCTCGGGATCTTTACACAATATTTCTGATGGTTTGTTTCATTGACAATCGCTAATAAATTTTTTTGTTGTTAGCAAAGCAATTGTTGGTGCTTCTATTGCTAATCTAGAGATCTAAGCGCAATGCTGTAATATTACATAATTAAAAGTTTATTAAATTTCCGTTTGTCTCTATCTATAATATCTACAGTATATTAAAACAAAAACATAAATACTATAAAAATCGCTCGTGTTAAAAGTAAACTTTATTTTGAACCAATTTTTTGAGAACGTCCAAATCAATCAAAATTTTTTCTCGCAATGTCAAATCACCCAGATTACTTAATGATTAAAAATAAATCAGAAATTAAAACCTTTGAGTTAGACGATTATCCCCAAATCTCTACAATTACTTACCAAGAAAAAAAAATAATATAATTCAACAATCATTTAATTATTTTATAGAAGCTGAGGGATTTTATCCCTATTATCCTGAACTTCGCTATACTTTGCCTTCTAAAAAGTATCCAATCCCTAATGATTATTCCGTAAAAACCACTTGAGGGCGTGCTGAAAATCAGCAAACAGTCCAGTGCAAGATCAAGTACAAAAATGGACAACCAGAATTTCAAATTTTATATGGCACCTTTTTTGAATTCGAAGTTAAATCAAATACATCAGTCAGCAAAGCTGTAAAAAATTATAAGAAGGCCATAACTAGAAATTCAAACAAAAATGGTTCTTTATCTGGGCCTTTACTATTCAGATTACAACTTCAAAAACTTAGAACCTTAGAAAACTTCGAGCTAGACAACATATCAAACCTGCGGAGCAATATTCTCAGAAAACTCTTATAAAGCATGCAAAAGAATTCGCAACAATACTTAAACAAGAATTTATTCGAACTAGTGAGCTTATATATAACACACAAGACTCTGTTTCATTAAAATCACTCAAATATACCATTAATAATCAAAATTATTATTTTAATATTGGAGATAAAAATCTTCTACAACAAAAAGCAAAGATCTTAAATATAATTAAAGTAATGGATTCCAGTTATATTTCACGAGATGCATATAGAGACTTAGCTGCAATAAATTTTCACTTACCACATGAATATATTATTGCAAATGAACGAAATAATTTAACCCAGGAGATAATCAATAAGATTCAGATTAATCTTATAAATATGATTAAGGCAATAAACAATTCTAATTTGGAAGAAGAACCTAATCATATTGATATAATTCCTGATAATATCGATACTAATACTATTAACGTTAATGAAATCAGTAGATCTGAATATATAGGTGAACAACGTGACTTTAAAGAAATCCTTCGATACATAATTTCGTATTTGATACAGGAAAATGTTTTATCAGCTAATAATCCAACAATTCATATACGAATTTCTGGTGATAGTCAGAATGTAGATCGAAAGGTAAAACACGTTATGATAACATTCATAATTCTTAATGATATAAAGAATCATCATATGCCTAATTACCACCATACTGTCGCTTTATATTCCGGAGTAAAAAAGTATGAGTTACTTGAAATTATATTAAATCCATTTTTTAATGATCTTAAAGATCTTAAAAATAATGTATTAAACGTTGCAGATATTCTTTGGAATTTTGAATTTTATTTTAGCAGCGACTGGAAATTTCTCTCTATTTGTCTTGGATTAAAAGCTGCGAATTCAAAATATTTTTGCGCATGGTGTTCTTGTTCTAAAAATAAAATTGGTGATGCTACGCAAGATTGGCGAATTACAAAATCAATAAATGATTTGAAAATCAACTATTCAAATACTCCAAGCCATATTAAAGCACCGTTGTTTGATATAATTCCATTATATAACTACGTCTTTGATGAGCTACATGTTCTATTAAGGATTGAGGATCGACTTTGGACTTTAATCTTATCAGAACTTAAGGAAAGAAATTTATTTAATGAAGTTAGTTGGCAAATAATTGTAAAAGAAATAGAATGACTTAAAATTAAGTTTCACTTCTGCGAAGAATCAAATATTTGGAAGTATACATCACTATCAGGTAATGATAAAATTAAAGTATTGCAATATTTTAATTTAGGTACTCTTTTTCGTCCAAGTCGAGCCCAATTAATTCGATCTTTATAAGACAAGTTTATAAATTTGTATAAAGTAATATGTGATCCAACTAGCAATTCTTTATACTTAAAACATTTAGCATTAGAATGGCTAAATCTCTTTTTAAAACCTGATGAACGAGATCCAACAAACCCACAAAACATTATTAAGGGTCTATATTTACCTGTTCATGTAACTCCTTATATCCATTTTATAGTATTTCATGGATGGGAGTTACATCAAAAACATAAACGGTGGGGATTAAAGGCTTTTTCTTGTAGCGCAGTTGAAAAAAAGAACCATTTACATGTATCTTATTTTTTTCAAAAATCTACTATGAATGGTGGTAATCCCCTTGAAAAAAAGGCAGCTACAGTTGAAATTTTAGAGCACGAGTCCGAAATCTTTTTTTTGCTTATAATGATTTTTCTAATTTGCAACCAAAAACTAAAAAGCTTCGTATTAAATATTAAATTGTCAATTGAAATTGATAGAATTCTGTATAATATAATTAAAGTAATATTTAATATTAATGGTTTTTATTTATATTAAACCTTTATCTCTTGCTTTGCCGTTATTTATTGTAGTACTAGGTGGTAAAGTTCAATTTTTTTCTATTTTGCTTACTGCACACCACTGACTAAAGTGCCTCCCTACTATAATACTCCCATGAAAAATACCCGGGTACAACTTATAGATTCATGATCCAGAAGATTGAATAAAACCCGAGTATTATTTTAGTCAGATATAATATTTATATTGAATTACTATTAAACTATGTAAAGTACCTATCTCTTATAGTATACTCCCCCGTAATTAGTACCAGAGAGGGTACTACTCAAGAAATTTGATAGTTGATTGAATAGTACCTGAGGTACTTTAGTCAGTCAGTAGCATATGGTAATTTGTTGTGCTTTTCCTTTTTCTGATCCTCTTCTAATACATTTTTTCTATTTAAACTAAATATTTTATTGTGAACACAATGGAAGGCACTTTGTGAGGTAATAAAGGTTAGCAGACGACTTTGCAAAACAACAACGTTGACTGACTTGACTCTTTGATATTTAAACCAGAAGCAGAAATAATATACAAGGTGTTCTAAAAGTTCTCTTTTTTTTTTTTAGTTATATATATAGGTTATGATAATAATTACCATAATCTTTATATAGTCGTCTCTCATTAATATCAACCTATTTGGATCACTTTTATATTCATGTTAATAGTGATATTAATGAGAGAACATATTAAAGTTGATTTATAGGAGAGAATTTTAATATCATTTAACATATAGAAATTTATTTTATATCCTAGGTTGATATTAACGGTTTGATATTAATGAGGGACGACTGTATATAAAATTATTTAAAAAATAGAGACCTTATATAGGAACTTTTAGGACACCCTATATAATATTAGCACACGTGTTTCATCGAAATCAGCATGCTAACTTTTAATGATCTTAGATCAGAAGAGGAAAAGTATTAGTTGACTGCACTTTGCAAGAATGCCATGCTGATTTGTTATTTTTGAACTAATAATCACTTAGAGAAAAAGTATTAGTAGATGCACTTTACAAGAACATCACGCTAACATTTTAGATCTTAGAATAATCTTTGATCGATATATGAAAAGCATTGCACCCTTCAAGCTAAATCTTTTTAATAATTTCAAGTCAGATATATTTCATACTTATTTCATTGGGTTCCAGTTTAAAACATTAGTAGATACACTTTGCAAATACCAAGTTGATTTACTTGAATCTTGGTTGGAATAATATTGGGTCAAAATATGATAAAATACAGTATTAGTAAATGCATACTTCAAGAACAACGTAGTATTTTCTTGAATTTTTATAATACCGTCAACTATCGATATAACGAAAACCTGGGCAGGTCAAAATATTCAGTTATATAGCATAATCGTTATATCTACATAACAGGATTAATATATTTAAAAAGAAAAAAAATTATTTTTTTTTTGCAAGTTGTTACGTTATATTAGATTTGTTATATAGATTAGAATTTTATAATACTGTAATAAAATCAGATGCCCGTTATATGTAATATAGTCTTTTTATTATAACCATATTAAATTTTCTAATAAAAATTTGGTACTTAGAATTTGGTTTGTTAAACGGTGAATCCAGCATAAAAGTATCCATTATATCGGTAGTTGACAGTAATAAACTCATATATCCAGAATCTCAAAACATAAATAAACTGATTTTATAAATTAGAAAAAAAAATTTTATTTAAAGCAAATGATACTTTATTTTTAAACTATATACAGTATAATATATATTATAACTGATTTTATATCAAATTTATAAACGTCTTTGTGATATATAAAAAGAAAAAATTATAAATCCCACAATACAGACATTTCCATTAACTTCTTGATCAATTTTTTTTTTCCATTCTACCAGAAATTCACCACAAATAATTTTTGGCTTTCTTTTTTTTTTTATTATTTAATTTATTTTTATTTAATATTAATTCTAGATGATCAACATCATCTTGATTTGGGTCAATATTAGAACAAAGTCGTTGATTTGATAGCTGTTCAAAAATAATATACGTTTTCTGATTCTGATTATAACATTTTTGACCCCATTTAGAATCTCCTAAAATTTCTGCTAAAGTCAAATAGGCTGACTCTCCATGAAATCTACATTTGTATACTCATGGGCTGTTAGAAAATTGGTGAATATGTCTTGCAAAAACAGCAACAAATTGACTTTCAGTACATGGAATTGATAATCCTTTTCACTTCATTCTGGTGAAGCTTAATAGTAAGTGATGATGTATTTATTGAATTAAAATATTTTTATATTCTTACAACAAAGTGTCCAGAATTGTATCAAGATCTTTATGCAGTATATTATATTTTTTAATCATGCTATAATGTCATTTAAGTCCATTTTCAGACTTGAAATTTTGAAAGCAAATAGGACAACATACAAAAGAGATTGAAGTAAATATTATATTTTGTGACAAGATAGATTGTAAATTTATAATTTGAAAAACAGTTTCTAATAGTTTAATATTATTTATTTTAGTAATTAGCGAAAGTACTTTTCTCAAAGAAAAAATAACTAAAATACAATAGTTATATATAATAAAAGCAATTAACACAACAGCCCATTTACGCAGAGGACCATTTATATGACGGTCAGACCCAACGTACAGGGCAGACTATGAAATCCTGCACAGCTGTGAGAACCGAGTTTGAAACGGTGAACGACCTTATAGAAGACAACCCTATTACTGGCAAATCATTTTCAACATATTTAGACCCCTATGATGAGCCAATCCAACATACTAACTATACAGAGACAAATACTGCCTATATTAATGAACCACACATAATCACATACAATCTCAAAACATGTTATAACCAAATTTTATTATCTCTCAATCTTC